GCATACTATTTTCATTTTCTTTATTTCCTTTTTGCTTTTTTCCTTTTGCAAACTGTAATTTTTTTTGAAAACTATTTCTTTTTTCACAAAATGACTAATGTGGAAATGTGTTTTACATGATTGGACACATATAAGCTATCAAAGGCGTGTTTAATAATTAATAAAATTATACCTAATCATTTAATAATACATAGTCAAACTGCTTACGGTCTTAGGGAGGGGGGAAGGAAAGGACAGAAAGAAAAAATTTGGAAGTCAAATTTTTGTAAAAAATAAATGTTAAAAATTGTCTTTACATGTAATTGGAAAAATTAAATACTATTAAAAAATAAAAGGATAAGCATTAAAAAAAAAGGTTTGTCATGTTGACCTAGATGGACAATATTTATTTGTAGTGAATCCAGTCAGAATGACTTTGTGATTTCCTTCAGTACCATCTTAGCCAATAGGGAATAGGATAAGAAGAGGAGAAGAGGAGTGACCCAGGGTTGAAGGTTAGCAAAGAATTCGAGAGTAGAGGAGGAAAAAGCCGTCGTAGTAGCTGACTGACTATAGGGCCTAGACTAGGTGGGAAGGAAGTTGGGGTAGCATCAAGCTTGATAGGCTGGAAAAATATGGCCAAAAAAAGGGCAAAAGGTCATATCAAGGGCAAAGAACAGATATGGGAGGAGTAAGAAAGTGGAAGAGGAAGGAAGACAGAAGACTGAGTGGAAAAGGAGAATTTCAGACTATAGGATCTTAGGGGTGAAATTGTTTTGCTAGATTGTATGGTATAGGGAGTACCCATTCTAGTGGGTACCATAGTTGAGTAGAATTGAGGTCATAGGAAAAGAAGAATTTAAGGAAATGTGAAAAAGGGAAATTAAAAGGGTCATCTATATGCCTACTGACATAACCAACCATCACAAGACTTGGGCCTGAAAATCAGACCAAGTTCGTAAGCGTTTATTAAGTGTCTACTATGTGCCAAGCTCTGGAAGTAACTTTGTAAATCATCTAATCCAACCACCTCATTTAAAACACTTTTTTTCAGTTAACTAAAGTCAATTTTTTCTCCCTCTCATCTTCCCCCACTCCTATACTGGAAAAAGAAAAAAAGAAAAAACTCTTGTAACAAATATACACAGTCCAGCAAAACAGATGCCAGCAATGTCTACCTTCTAAAAGAAACCTATTTCATTCTGCACGGAGTCCATCACTTCTCTGTGAAGAGATGGATAGCATGTTCATCATCAGTCCTCTGGGATTATCTAACCCTTTTATTTTAAAGACAAAGGAACGTAGGCCCAGAGAGTTAAAATGAAACTAAGACCTGGTGAGGTTGTGACTTGCCCTGTGTCACACCTGTGTAAATAGAAGAGCTGGAATCTCTGAAGGCGACGGTAGGGGAGAGGGTGTAGAGTCATGACTTGGTTAGGAGGTGGGAGTCAAGTGTCAGTGTCACAGAGACAGGTGAGAGCACATCCAGGAGGTCAGTAGATGACAGCATCAAGGATTGAGAGAGGGCGGCCTGATGCCCAAGGAAATGTTGAATTATGGTGACAGAACATAATGCAGAACTACCAAAAACACTAAATGATTAGAGTCAGCTAGGTAGCACAGTGAATAGTACTGGGCCTTGAATCAGGAAGAACGAACTTCAAATCCAACCTCAAATACTTCCTAGCTCGTGATCCTGGGCAAGTCTTTCAACCTCTCCCTCAGTTTCCTCAACTGTAAAATGAGGACAATAATAGCACCTACCTTCCAGGGTTGTTGGAAGGATCAAATGACAAACTTTTTGTAAAGTGCTTAGCATAGTGCCAGGAACATAGTAGGAGCTTAATACTTGTTTCCTTCCTCCTCCCTACAGTTATTATACTTCTTTTCCATTTACTCTACTATTCTTTCTTGCTCAGCCTCCACATCCATTCACCTGTCTCTTCTCTCCAAAAAGGCATACCAAGACAAAAAGCATCTATTAAGCACTTACTGTGTGCTAGGCACCGTGCTAAGCACTGGGGATACATACAAAAGGCAAAAAAAAATTCATCCCTATTTTCAAGGAGCTCACAGTCTCTTCAGTTTCTCAGTTGATGTACCTTGGGTTACAAATACAAATGTATTTCTGAATATATATATATATATATATGAATAACCAATCTGAGGCCATATACTATAGCTGAAAAAACACTGAACAGGGAGATAGGTTTGTCTTTGCCAGACTAGCTGTGTGACCTTGGACAGTGACATGAATGAATGTATTTACACTGTACTTTTATCTATGGGTACACACCCATGTGGGAGCAAGTAAATGAGGTACGTATATACTCTAGCTCAGTGGTTTCTAACTTGAGCCTAGGAAGCAGGAGTGAAACTAGGATCGGGGAGGGACAGAGAGAAGGGGGTAGGATTTGCTTTGTGTGAATCATAAATTTAGAGTGGTCCTGATAATTATTGGATGTTAGTAACCCCTAAGTATGGAGGCTGTCATGCTAACCACCATAAAAACAAACCACAAGAGTCACTCAAGGGAGTTAAAGGATGGTTGTTAATGTGATTGACCCCACCTTCTTCCATGGCTGCTTAGTGATGTGAAATTTGTTCACCTAACATTTCCTTTTTATCTTTAAGATATTTATGGATATTTAGTCAAAATTCAAACAAATTTCAACATATTTGGGTCACTAGTTTTGTTAAATTGTCATAGGATCTCTGGGCAGAGAAAAAACCATGAGGCATTACACATTATTTGTTGGATTGAATTGCATTGAAATAGTGATTTCATACAATTTTGTTTAGGTTGAGTTGATGTAAATTTAATATACCTCAGAGTAATATCTCATAATAAACCAATGGCACAGTAGACATGTGTCTTTTCTGAATATACCCAAGTATCATTTCACCCAGTATCCATCCCTGAAAGCTGCATTTCATCACCTTGCAAGACTAGACACAGAGACAGCTAGGTAGCACAGTGAATAGAGCACAGGCCCTAGAGTCAGGAGGACTTGAGTTCAAATCAGGCCTCAGATACGTACTAGCTGTGTGACCCTGGACAAGTCACTTACCCCAACTGCCTCCAAAAAACCAACCCACCCACCCCCCTCCGCCCCCGAAAAAATACTGGACACAGGGCAAGTCGCTCTGTCAGTCAATAAATAGCCAACAAACATTTATTAAGTACCTACTATTGCCAGGTACTGTGCTAAGTGATGGGGATAAGAGGAAAAGAAACAAAAGACAGCCCCTGTCCTCCAGGAGCTCACAATCTAATGGTGGAAACAACAACGTGTAGTTGAGAGGGAAGGAATAGAATTAAGAGAGGTTGGAAAAGTCTTCCTGTAGAAGATGGGATCTTAGTTGGGACTTACAATCCAAGGAAGGCAGTAGACAGAGACAAGGAGCGAAAGCATTTCATAGGTGGGGGACAGGCAGAAAAAATGCCCAGAGTTGAGAGATGTAGTCTTGTTGGTGGAACAGCCAGAAGACTAGGGTGACTGTTTGAAGAGTGCATGATGGGGAATGATTTGTAAGACTGGAAATGATACTCCTACGGCAAAGGTGGGCCAGATTATGATGGGCATTTAATACATTTTGTATTTGATCCTAGAAACAATAAAAGCTGCTAGAGCTTTTCGGCAGAGCTGGAATTTCCCCCAGGTCCCGAGATTCCTGAGGCCACTCTTTCTATGGTACCATACTGTCTGTGATAATGAAGTCATTTAAGTAAGGGGATACTGACAAACGGACATAGGGCAAAGAGTTGGAAGTGAACCCGTGTTCTCGAAGGCTATGCCAAGTAGAATCTGAGAAGGCATCTTCCATTATGGGCATGGGATAGATTTTGTTTGCCTTCCAAAGATCAAGCTAGACTCTGCTGCTCATCACAGAAAGTTTGGCCACGGGGTAATGTATCCTGGCCTCCACCATTTATGAAAACTATATACTCCCAAAAGGCAAGGAGGGGCTATGTCTGTATTAGGGGAGTACGTACAGTCATACCTTGTTTTACTGAGCTTCACAGATATTGAGTTTTTTACAAAGGTTTGTGGCTACCCTATATCTACAGGTGACATTTTTTTCTTTTTGGTGACGCAATTGGGGTTAAGTGACACGCCTAGGGTCACACAGCTAGTAAGTATCGTGTCTGAGACTGGATTTGAACTCAGGTCCTCCTGAGTTCAGAGCCAGTGCTCTATTCACTGCGCCATCTAGCTGCCCCCCATAGGTGACATTTTTCAATAGCATGTGCTCATATTGTAATTCTAACAGTATTTCAAACTTTCTTCATTATTCTTACATCTGTTATGGTGATCTTTCATGTTATAACATTGTAATTTGCTCTGGGGTGTCATGAACTGCACCCATACAAGATGGAACTTAATGTGTTGTGTCCTGACTGCTCCACTCTCCCTCTCCTTGGCCTTCCCTATTCCTTGAGACACAATATTGAAATTAGATCAATTAATAACCTTACAATGGCCTTCAAGTGAGGCAAATTTCATTGTCTTATTTTAAGAGATTGCCACAGCCACCACAACCTTTGGTAACCACTGACCTTATCAGTCAGCAGCCATCAACATGGAGACAAGACCCTCCACCAGCAAAAAGATTATGACTCACTGAAGGCTTAAATAATAGCATTTCTTAGCAATAAAGTGTTTAATTAAGTATGTTTACACTATACTATTTTAAAATGTACATAACTCATATGCACTGGGAAACCAAAAATTCGTGTGGCTCACTTCATTGAGATACTCGCTTTATTGCGGTGGTCTGGAAACAAACCCACAGTATCTGAGGTATGTCTGTATACACCAATGAAATCAAGGATCCACAAAATATCAAGTTAAGTAACAGCACTATTAGACTGAATGCAAAACGGAAATTATTTCAAATATAAAAATTCAAATTGTAAAGCAGCGTATGATTAGATATATTTTCCAATGACTCATCAATTTAATGATGAAATAAATATTTACCTAACCTTTGAAAAAAAAAAACAACACAGTATCACCTTCATTATAGTAGACAATTTATCTTACAAGTCATTATACATTTGCCGCCCAAAGAATACATAAGTACAAATAAATGCAAAAAGTCCTCATGAACACTTTAATGAACTACATACATTTTATACAAAATGGAATTCCTCTTTCAGAGCCCAAAAATGTAGGGAGACCCTAAAAATGTAGCAGAAGCACTTCCGCACACTGGTTTCAGTAGTCTAGTTTGTGCAGAAATGTTTCCACTAGATTCATAGAGTGTGATTTAGATGGACTCTTCATTTGGTCAACTGTTTGACAGTCTGCAGCTCTTCTACAGGTTCCCACTTTTGGTTAATTGTGAAAAGCTGTTAAAAAAAAAAACAACAGAACATTATTTCAGAAAGAGTTTTAAAATAAGAAATTGCCTTTTTATAATCATTGATGAAATGCTTATAAGACATTGTATTTGGCACTAACACAGAAGTGTGAATCCTGTTCCAAAAAGAAACCCAAAATTTGTAATGATCTAAAGCTTATAAGAAATTGTCCATAATGAACTGAGGTAAGAAGAAATAAGGACAATTAAAAAAGGGCCTTTTGAAATATGTTTAGAAGAACAGAGTAGGCTGAAGTTCACTGCCTAGGACAGATAAAGTCATGTTAAGAGATGACAGAAATTCAAAGTTTCTATTTTGCTTGTCTGTTAGATCATTGAGAATTATCTTAAAATTGGAAAAGAATAAAACAAAAGTCATTTAAAGGTAATTAGAGTTCAACACAGGTTGAGATGGGGAATGCTTCACAATGAGTTTTATATATATATTATATATATGTATATATATATGTGTATGTATATATATAGGGATGTGTGTGTGTATATGTTTACACACATTCATATTCCCTAAGTTAAGAAACTCCTGGCCTAAACGGATTACATGTTAAGATATTAAAAGAACTCTGATTCATAAAAGCAATCACAGGAGAAAAAAAAGGGGGAGGGGGGAGTTCTCAGTAATATGAGCAATGCAATTGAAAAGCAAAACTTTAATTCCATTGCTAGGTATATATACCCTACCCTTGGGCCCCAGGGAAGACAACAATGATAAAAACAAAGGCCTCACAGGCACCACAATATTTATAAACAGATCTTTTTGCATTAGTAAAGAACCGGAAACAAAGAAGATGCCTATTGACTAGGAAATGGCTAAACAATATTGCTGAGCTGTGAGAAATGATGAACGTGAAAAATACAGAGAAGCATGGAAGGAGTTATAGGAACTGATGCAAATCTAAACTCTTTCTGAATAAATAGAGGACAATTCCCATTGAATGGCATTTCTTTTAAGAATGTTCCAGGGACAGAAAAGAGGAGACTGAGCTTGGACGAGTGGATAACAAATGGATGTTGAGGAGGGCAATTTGTTCTAAGTTTGACAACCACTTTTAATCCATTTCCCAAAGAAAGGTCTTTTTTTACTCCACCCCCTAAGTATACAAGTCTGGAAAGGGTTTTCCAAACCTATGATTTATTGCTTAGTATTTCTAGAGAAACAGAAGACTTGGACAGGGGGACATACTTGTCTTTAAAAATTTGAAGGGAGGTTACCTTAAGAGGAACCAAATTACTCCTTTATAACTAAACAGTAGAGAGGAGGAGAATAGGGTAGGTCAGGAAACACAGTCACACAGACTTGGCTTCACGTATAAAATCTATTCTTGAAGTAGTAAGATGTCCCACCACAAGTATTCAACAAGTTGGATGACAACCTGTCAGAGGAGCTTTAGAAAGGATTTCTCAAACAAGTGAGACTTTAGATTAAATAACACCTAAAGTCTCTTCAACTCTACAGATCACATTTATCCCCAGAGGAATAATGCTTTCCCTACGTAGTAGTTAGAACTATGTTGCATTATTCATTATTTGGCACAAGACAGTTATAACACACATTTATTAATTCTGTAATTAATTCTTAATTCTATTTTGCTTTAAAAAGTTCCTATAGTTTGGACCTAACTTGACTTGTCAGGTTATTTTATCAGTACCTTTTGAGGCTCGTAGGGATTCACATTTTCCCATGGTTCTGGATTTTTCTGTCTGTTAACACTAAAAAATAATAATGAAATGAAATAACATTGTGACATCATAACCTCAAGATTTTGCTTTTAAAACTGACACAGTTCCACTTTGGGAACATCTATCATGCATTTAATCTATCTTCTTATAACACTAGTTGCATAGAATTGACTTAGTTAAGAGCTGCTAAGTCACAAGAGATTTATTAGACAAGGTGTGCACAGCTACATATGTAAGACAATTCCTGTCCTTTCTACTGCAAAGTTCTGCAGGGACAAAAACTGAGCTCACTCCCCCTCGGTGATTTCTAGATTTCTCTTTCTCTCTTCAGCTCAGCAGACTGTTGGTAGTTTAAACAAAGCACTACCCTGGCAGAACAAAGAAAGAGAAACTAAGGGAGAGTAGGTTCCAAAGGGGTCATATATAATAGCTCCAAATTCCAAGCTGAGAATAAATTTCAATTAACAGCCTATTGAGTATTGCATCAATGGAAGAAAGATATTTGTAACAGCTTAAAAATAAAATGGAAAAATACCTTACAATTGAAATCATTATTTGATTATATAATTCTCAATATTGCATTTTTTTGAAAATCTTTAAGTTTTAAGTTTAGAAATTGAAAAATAAAATTCAAAATTGTGCCCCATTTGAAAAGTCATGGACTAAAAGATATTTGTAAAAAAAAAAAAAAAAAAAAAAAGCTAAACTAATGAATTTCTCAGTCAATTTTTTTATCTTTATGCATTTGAAAAATTTTCCCAGCTTTGACTCCATGTCCGGAAACTGCTATTCTCACACCCAGAAAGAATAAATGAATAAAGCATTTATTAAGCTATTACTATGTGCAAAACGGTGAGAACCTAAATTCAAAAGTAAGACAATTCTAGCTCTTCAGAAGCTCACATTCTAATGGGGGAAATCAACACAAATAAGAAAACCGGGCAACTTTTCACAATCCACACATCAACCTAAAGACAATAACTGTCTTCCAACTATATCCCCATTTTACTTACATCACATCAGTTTTGAAAAGGGAGTATATGGACATGCCGGCTGCTCCCACTCCAGCAAAACCCACAAATGCGATCAAAGGAATAAGCTAATGGACAAAATATTGTAAAAGAAACCTCTTCAGATGACTCTTTAAAATATTAAATGATGCAGAAAAATAAACTTTGCTCGTTGTAATAATGTTAAAAAAAATGCTAATACTTACTTCTTTCTTTTTCACCAAGAATTTTAAGTAGCTCATGATTGCGACTTTTGGGGTGGAAGTCTAGAACAAAGAAGCCCAGTTATTGGTCAAACCAGTCACTGATGCCCCCAAATAAGTACCTGCATCCAATGATCCTAAAGAGCAGTACTTACCCACCCACCATTCACCACCAAGACAAACAAACAAAAGTGGAATAGTCTAACGATTTCCAGTTGCAGCCGAGGATGGATAAAGCGACCCAACCTTTTCCTACCAGCGAGAATGACCAAGTATTTGAGTGACTGTTGCTAAAGCTAAGAACTGTATCCTGGATCCTTGCTGCCTCTAAACTTTATATACCGAAGATTACGCCCAGAAGGAGGCCGGCCAAAGCCCAAGTCACGTAGACATAGGTTGGTCACTTAATTTCATTTCCTAAAGGGCACTTCCCCCTCTCCGCCTCCCCGGACTTTCCTTAGGTTTTTGAGTCCCTGGGCATAACTAGATCAAGTATGCCTAAGTATTGGAGAGGGAAACATAACGTAGTCCTCGCGCCCCCTGCCGGAAACTGAATAATGCCAGATGAGTGGCAAACGAGCTCCAGGTAAGGAGGCAGGTGCCTCTCCTTCAAACCCCTTCCTCTCTCTCTCTTCCCAACCTCAGCCCTCCAACCCTCTCCAGCGCGCTCCATCTCGGAACCTAGGCTCGAGTGCTTTGGCTCCTGGAATGGATTTGAGGAGCCCAGTAGAGGGTGGTGGGAAAGTGAAAATTGTTTTATTATATTGTACAGCGGAAAAGAGGGAGAGTTGGGAGATTCGTTGGATAGCGCGTGGTGTGAAGACGGTAGATTCTGATCAATCAATTAATTCGTCAAAAAACTTTTACTTAGCACCTACTATGTGCCAGACACTAGGCTAAAAAGCTGCATATAAAAAAAAAGGCAAAAGACCGCCCTCAAGGAGCTTACAATCTAGTGGGTGAGACAACATACAAATATATACGAAGCAAGCTATATACAGGATAAATTGTAAATAATTAACAGAGGCACTGGAATTAAGAAAGATTGGGAAAGGCTTCCTTTAGGTGGTGAGATTCTGGAGGTCAGAGTTTGAGAGAGGAGAAGGGAGAGTTCTTAGAGAAAATGTCCGAAGATGAGAGATGAAGCACTTATTTTTGTGAAACAGCCAGGAGGCCAGTGTCACTGTATCGAAAAGTACTTGTCAAGAAGTAAGGGGTGAGCAGACTGAAAGGTGGGAGGGGATTAGGTTATCTTTGGCTTTGAACGCCAAAGAGAGCATTTTGTATTTGATCCTATGGGCAAAAGGAAACAACTGGAGTTTAAATAGGGGGAGTGGGGGACGGGATATGATCGGACCTGCTTTTAGGAAAATCACTTTAGTGGTTTGATTGGAGGATGAATTGGAGCGGGGAGAGACTCGAGGAAGGCCGACCCACCCACGCTTATCTCAATAATCCAGATGTAAAGTGATGGGGGCCAGGCACCAGAGTGATGGCAGTCTCAGAGGAGAAAAGGAGGTGTGTTTAGTAGATGTTGCAAAGGTGAAATTGACTGACCTTAGCAACAGCTTGGGTATGGAGGTGAGACATAGAGAGGAATTCAGTGTGACTTCTTTTTAGGAAACCTCGGGGATCAAGGCGATGGTGTTACCCTTTACGGTAATAGAGAAGGTAGCAGGTGGGAAGTGTTTAGTACGAAAGATAAAGAGTTCTGATCAGCAGGTGGAATCTGATCAACCGATGGAGTCTGATCAATCTGTTAAATCGGGCTTATCTTTCTAAGAAAGAAATGCTCTTTTTTAGGTGACAAAAATGGGAATCTAAGGGGATGTTCATAAATTGGGAAATTGATTAACAAGTTATGGTATATAAATTTGATTGAATACTATTTATCAGTCGAATAACTAACCAAGATTCCAGAGGACTAATAATGAAACATTCTTTCCACTTCCTTATAGAGGTGAAGGACTTTTTTTTTTAATGTGGCCAATATGGAAAGTTGTTTTGATTGATGGGTTTTTTTCCCCCTAGCGTTCTCAGTTGGAGAGGGTGGGGACTGTGGGGGTTGGGGGGGAGAGGGCAGTGCTCAGGTTCTCACTGCTAGTTAGGGTCTGAGACTGATGTAAACTCGGGTCTTCCTGACTCCAGGCTCGGCACTGCCCCCTAGCTGTAGCTGGACGTGATCGCCTCCAAGGTTCCTCCAAACTCTACTTTTATGATCCAAAGATCAATCAATAATCCCTAAAACCAATGTAGTCTTCCAAAGTAGAAATATAATGAATATGTTCGAAGTTACAGCTAAACCTACATTTAAGGAGGGAGCACAGCTTCTCTGACTTTTCCTACATGCCCCTGGCTCAGGTATCTTCTCCTCTGCCTTCCCTGCTTTTCAGCTTCCTTTTGTGGGTACCCACCCCTCCTCCCCTCCACTGTAAGCTCTCTGAGGACAGGGACTGCTTTTTTTTTTTTTACATTTGTATCTTTAGCACAGTGTGGGGGAGGAGAGGGGGCGATACTTAGTAAGCACCTAATTAATGTTTATTGATTGACTCAAGCCTCGACCCAACTACTCACCAGCTTTGTAATTCAACTATGGGCATTTCCCATTCACACACAAAACTCAGGCCAAGAACCATAGCTTTTAAAGGTGAAAGCCCTTTAATGAATTCCATCTAGGTTCATTGTTGGTGTAACCAGTCTCAAAGCACTTTGGTCTGGGAAGGGGAAATAAGAGGGAGGGAAGGTTAAGGGAGGGATTAGTTCTAAGGCCAAAAAAAAAATGCTCTATGCATGTACACAAATATTTCTAGCTTTTTCTTTTTGAAGTAGCAAAGAATGGGAATTTGGGAGAGTGCTCATAAATTGGGAAATTGATGAACAGGTTATCATATATAAATGTGATGGAATATAAATGTGCTAAACTCTTACCAGTCTAATGACCCATGATTTCCAGAGGACTAATGATAAAAACATGCTATCTAACTTCTAACAAAGAGGTAGATGCATCTTTTTGGGCTTGGCCGGTATGGAAAGTTGTTTTAGTTGTAATCCCATGAGACTATCTTTTACCTCTTTTTGTATCCTCCGTGCTTAGGGAGAGCCTGGTACATAGTAGGCCTTAATAAATCTTGATTGATTGGTTTTACTTGTTTGTAATGTCTTGTGTTCTCACTTGGAGGGGAGGGCTTGGAGTGAGAGGGTGCCCAGAGTCACAAAGTCAGGGGGTCTGCAGCTGGATGTGAAGGAATTAGGTCTTCTGGATTCCGGGCTCAGCACTACCCACCGTGCCTCCTAGCTATGGCTGGATTTGATGGCCCTTAGAGACTCCTCAGAACTCTAACTCGATGTGGTCTTGCAAAGAAGAAATATGTAATAGAGATAGCCAAGGGCATGAATGAATACATCGGAAGCTACATCTAAACCTCCATTTGAGGAGTGAAACTTATTTCTCACCTGACTATGCTACTTTGGACCTTCTGTGACTTTTCAGCCCTGACCCAGGATGCTCATTGTTGGGAAAATGTTACCACCTAGAAAGATCCCACCAGCCTTGAGACTCCATATCATCATTACCCTCTGTCCCTCTGATTATAGGGTAGAGCCATGAACTCCAAAACCTCCCCTTGAGGGCTCACAGCTCAGGGCTTCTCCTTTCTCACCTGGCTGCTCTATTTTGATACTTGATTTTTCCTACATGTTCCCATATCAATTATCTTCTCCTTTCCTCTCCCCTGCTTTTAAGCTTCTTTTTATGTGATGTCTCCCCCATTCAATTGTAAGCTCATGAGAACAGGCACGGTCTTCTTTTTTTCTTTGTATCTGTTTCCACAGCACTTGGTTGGGTGCTTGGCACTTCGTAGGTTCTTAATAAATGTTTATTGACTAAATGACAACTGCACTCCAATTTCCCACCAGTTTTGTAATTCAACTGCCTACATTTCCATAAATATTCTCCATTTTCCACTCACACTCAAAATTCATAGCAAAGCGGGATAGCTTTTTTAAGACAAAATTCTTTAATGAATTTTAAATCTTGGTTCATTGCTGGTGTAACCAGAGTCCCCAAACCCATTGGTATGGAACTCTGTCCTGATGGAGATCAATGCTCAGGCCAGCCCTGAGGGTTGGACCCTAGTCTGGGACAGCAATAGCAGTCTCTTCTAGCCCTTCAATATCTTCAGACCTTGCATTCTCCGTGCCCTTCTGGCTTCCAGCTTTGAGAGAGAATATGAACAATGCCAACCTCTTCAGGTTACTGAAGAGAAAGTAAGACTCTAGGAAAAAGCCAGGGTGAGAGGAGTTGGTATTCTTCATCATGTCCTTCTCCTCAGCTTGCTTTGGGGCATTTCCCCTTGGGTGAGATCTGGGGCTCTCTTGGTGGAGCTGAGTTACCTCTCAATGTGAGAGCTCCTTCACTCTTTATTGTCTGTTATTTTTCTATGTATACTTTCTCTGATTTCCGTTTTCCCATGATTTGGATAAATGGGATTTCTTTGTTCTCTGCTATGTGTATGTTCATTATAGAACTAGTATTTGGTGAGAAGAGATTCACTTCCTGGATATAAAGCTTAGGGTCCTCCTTTACGCATTAAGAAAGTTAGAGGCCAAAGTCAAAGTGTTAACAATACCCTGATCTAGTTTGGAAGCTAGCTATTGTTTGAAAAGTTTCTAAAGTTTTAAACTCTTCTCCACTCCTTCTGGGGCCAAAGGGCTCTCTTTTAGGCTATGAAGGTTGGAAAGACAGGATCTGTTAATGGAATATAAGGGAAGGGTGAGGAATTGAGAATGATACCTAGGCTGGGAGCTTTGGTGACCAGGAAGGATGGTGGTGGTGTCTTCAACAGAGATAAGGAAGTAAGAAAAGAGGGGAGTACTTGAGGAGACAAGATAATGAGTTTAGGATTTGGACATGCTGAGTTTATGATGTCTATAAGACATTTAGTTCCAGATGTCCAATAGACAATTGAGGATGTGACAGTGGAGGTCAGCAGAGAGTTTTAGGCTGGACAAATAGGTATAGGGATGATAGCTGAATCCATGGGAGCTGATGAGATCACAAAGTGAAATAGTATATAAAAGGAGAAAAGTAGAAGACCTAGGTCAGAGCCTTGGGGGACACCCAGAGCTAATAATGACTGTGGAAGCCTGATAGTATTTAAAAACTGTTCTCATGAAGAAGGATGCTCACTTTTGACCAATCTGAGGCCTAGAGAGGTTAAGTGACTTGCCCCAAGTCATACAAGTAGTAAATGGCAAAACTGTAATATCCCCCCAGGTCCTAAGATTCTGAAGGCTAACACTTCTTCTAGTTTACTATACTGTCTTCATTCATTTAGTTTATTTCTACCACATCTCTGAATGGAGAAGATTCTTATTAATGAGGTCACCCACTTAAGGGCATACTTTGGAAATGGACATGGGGCAAGTAGTTGAAAGTAATTATAGGTTTTTGATGGCTATGCCAAGTAGAAGCTGAGAAAACCTCTTCCATTAGGGCCCTGGTGATAGATTTTGTCTGCCTTCCAAAGATCAGTCTACATTCTGTGCAGCTCATCACCAAAAGTTTGACCAATAGGTGATGAATTTCTTTTTGGCTTCCACTTTTCATTAAAACCATCTACTAAACCACTAGTAGGCCAGGAATGTTTTTGCCTCTGCTATTCATTAAAACCATCTACAGAGGGGCTGTGATGTGCATTAGGAAAGTAGTAAGTATGCACAGCAAGAAAATAAAAGATCTCTAAAGTATGGAATTAACAAGAATTACATGTGATTAATAATTTTTACCTGCTGGCTTTCAGCTGTGCAGAAGATATAAGTGGAAAGTACTTACTTTATATGAAAATTCATATTATAAAGCTGCATGTATATCATTAGATATTTCTCTAATGATCGATCAGCTCAATGATGAAATAAATATTTAATCTTTAGAAGAAACTAAACATAGTATCACTTTATTATAGAATATAATTTACCTTACAAATCATTATACATATGCCCCCCAATTCAAACTAAACATAGTATCACTTTATTATAGAATATAATTTACCTTACAAATCATTATACATATGCCCCCCCAATTCAATTTAATGAAAGAATACACAGGTACAAATACATGTAACAATTCTTTCTCATGAATACTCTAATGAACTAATGTTGTATATTATATAAAATTCAACTTTACAACAAGACACCAAACATGGGAATTTTATTTTTGGACTAACGTGGATTTTGTTAAGCTTGCCCACTTTTAGGGCAAAATGGAATTCCTCATTCAGAGCCCAAAAATGTAGGGAGACTCTAAAAAAGTACTTCTTCACACTGGTTTCAGTTGTCCAGTTTGTGCAGAGATGTTGCCACTAGATTTACAGAATGAACTTTGCAAGGAGAGTCTGGTCACTTGGTCAACTTTTTGACCTTCTGTAGTTCTTCAACAGGCTTCCACTTCTGGCTAATTGTGAAAAGCTACAAAAAAAAAAAAAAGCCATACATAACATTATTTCAGAAAGAAATTCTAAAATAAGAAATTAATTTTTCCAATCAATAGCATGTATTAAGTGCTTACTTTAGGTCAGGCATTTTACTAAGCACTGCACAGAAAAGTATATTATATTCAAAAATGAGATCTAGTATTGTAATGATCTAGAGCTTGTAAAAAGAAATTGCCCATTATAAACTAGGACAATTAAAAAGTGCCTCTTGTGATATAGAAGAACAGAGAAGGCTGAAGTTCACTGCTTGGGACAGTAACAGTAATGTTAAGAGTTGACAGCAATTGGAACACAAAGCTTCTTGCTTCTCTGCTTCATAAAGGAGAATCATCTTGAAATTGGAAAGGGTTAAACAAAAATGGTTTAGAGGCAGAGTTCAACACAAGTTGAAATGGGAAACGCTTTAAAATGGGTTAAAATCTTTGGTCAAGAAAGAGGTTCTTAACATTTTTGTGTCATGAACCCCTTTGGTTGTCTGGTGATGCCTAGGGAACCCTTCTCAGACTAATGTTTTTAAATATAGAAAATAAAATACATTGGATTACAAAGGAAACCAGGTATACTGCAATACAGTTCTCTGTGTCTCTGTATCTGTGTGTTTCTCTCCCTACATATATGTATACACACACACATGCAAACATATCTATAAAGATAAGCTTACACTCCCTAGGTAAAGAATCCTTGGCCCAGATAGATTATATATCAGGACACTTCAAAGAACTTGGAATCATAAAAGCATCATTAGTATTCCCTCAGAAGTCACAGAAAAAGGAGTGCTACCAAAAGACTAGACATGGGCAAATGTTCCAATTTGCATAAAAGGTGAGGGGGAAGAGATAAATTAAAGAAGGTACAAATTGATACATCTAATATTGGTCAGTTAGGTGATACGGTGGATAGAGAATTGGGCCTGGAGTCAGGAAGACTTGAGTTCAAATCCAGCCTTAGATGCATACTAGCTGTGTGACCCTGGTCAAGTCACTTAACGCTGTTTACCTCCGTTTCCTCATCTGTAAAATGAGTTAGAGAAGGAAATGGCAAACCACTCCAGTATGTTTGCCAGAAAAACCCCAAATTGGGTCACGAAAAGTCGGACAGAACTGAAACGACTGAACAACAACAAATATCACTTTCTTGCAACATTCTACAAGAAATATTATTAAGTACCTGGTTGGTGTGCATTTATAACAGAAGATAGTAGAAGCCACCATGGGTTCATTCAGAACTGTCATGACAAATGTTTCCTTTTCTGAAAGGGTTTACTAAATCCCAGGAATATTTTAGACTTCAGCAAGACATTTTGATCTAGTATCTCACTATATCCTTAGAGACAAAAGAGAAATGTTGGGGAAGATGGTAGTAGAGTTTGGTAGCTTGATAGCTGATTGAGTGACCATAACCAATTTTAGTAATGGATTAAATATAAAACTGAGGAGTTTTCAAGTGTTCTGCCAAAAAAGTTCTGCATCCTATTCCACCCGTTTTTACCAAGGGCTAGCTAGGATGAAAAGATAAAAGTCATTCTAATTCAATCAGAATAACCAAGCAGGGCGAGATAACTCATTTGACATGACAGAATCAGAATTTACAAGATGACCTGAACAAGAAGAAACTTACTAGGAACGTGTGTAAAATCTACCACTTCAGTCTATCAATGCAGAGCTCCAATGATGGAAGAGACCATTTAAGATATTCATCTGAAAAGGAGCTGAGTTTTAATTTAGAAATTTAAGGAATCAATGTAATATCACTGCCAGAAAAGCAAGTGCTCCAAAGGAGGTATAGTGTTGAGAAACTATCATGTTGTGAATGGAACCATAAATTAGCACAATCTTTCTGGGCCACAACCTGACAATTTGCAATGAGACAAAAGATATTATAATGAAAGTGGAAGGATTTTATTAAATGTAAAAAAAACCCTATAAATATAAAAATTATTTCAGCAAATATTTTAAAATTAAATATGATCTTTAATGCATTATAAAAGTCACCTTCCCTTAGAGCCACCCATTACAGGCATCTAGCAACTTAACAGGAAGAATTCACCATATACATACGACATATGAGATAAGATAGAATATGATTAAGGGGAAAGGAGAGATGGAGACCAAAAAAAAGCAAGCCAGGACAATCTGAAGAGGGAGAGATCATTGTCTACTGGAAGAATCAGGGAAGGGCTTTATGGAGGCAACTCGGGCATTGAAGAGTATTTTTTTCTTTCTTTTTTTTTTAATTTTTTTCTTTTTTTCTTTTAAGGCAATTGGGGTTAAGAGACTTGACCAGGGTCACACAGCTAGTAAGTGTCAAGTGTTTGGTCTGAGGTCACATTTGAACTCAGGTGCTCCTGACTTCAGAGCCGATGCTCTATCCACTGCGCCACCTAGCTGCCCCCAAGAGTATTTCTTTATGAGAATTTAAGGGGTTCCAAGGATGGAGATGGTCTTTGCAATGTATAGAAGCAGCGATATACAGAAGTGGAGGAATGTAAGATGAGAATAGATAATAGCCAGTACATTCTCTAGTTTGACTAGAAGATTGAATGCAGGAGAACAGTAAAAAAAAATAACACCAGAAAGATAGTTCGGAAGTGGATTATGGATACCTGAAATGTCAGGCTAATGAGCTTATATTCTTTAGGAAATAGGAAAACACTGCTGATGTTGTTACAAGACAAAGGTGGTTAAGAGGACAGAAGACATTTTAACTATCTTTTATAAAAACATGAGAAGAGAACAGGCAGGTTCTTATATATTAACGTAAACAGCCACAAAAATGAATAAAGGGTACAGTTCAGAGAATGTACTATGTTGCTGAGTCTGTTCATCTTTAAAAAAGATTTGACTTCGGAGGGCAAAATATAGTCTTATTCTCTCCTTAAACACGCTGTATCTTACATTTTTAAAAATCACAAAAGATTCCATGACAAATGTGAACTTTGTTCAATGATCCAAGTATCAATATCAAGTGGGTAATAAAAGAGGACAACATATAATCACCATCAAGTCCCAGGCTATAGAGACTCCTCAGGGAGATCCATAAGCATTCAACAAAGGACCAAGAACCTATTCTGGGGGGAAAAAAGTTCCTATTATCCAGATGATGACACTGAACCCATGAAAATGAGTCTCCCTGACTTCAGGCCCAGCATGTTATCCATTGCACCAACTATATGCCTTGGCTTAATATTTATCAAAAGAACTGAAAGTATTCAGTATATTGGTTGGATGTTCTGGAGGATTTAAGAAGAGTGAGAGGTAGGAGGTGAGAATCTCAAAGGATAAAAAGATATGCATAGGCTACAATCTATATCAGCAGGAGTAGTACACACTTTCTTCTTCTTTTTTAATTAATTTATTTTTTGTTATCAACAATCACTTCCATAAGCTTTCAAGTTTTAAATTTTTGGGGGGGGGAGGTAAGTTCTAAATTTTCTCCCCCTCCTTTCTTTCCTCCCTCCCCAAGATAACTTGACATAGATTCTACATATACATTCCTATTAAACATTTTCATTAGTCATGTTGTAAAGAAGAGTTAGAACCAATAGGAGGAACTACAAAAAAGAGGAAACAAAATACAACGGAAGGAAAAAAAAAACAAATAATATGCTTCGATCTGCATTCAGACTCCACAGTTATTTCTTTGAATGTGTATAGCATTTTCCATCATGAGACTTTTGGATATGTCTTAGATCCTTGCATTGCTGAGAAGAGCTAAGTCTATCAAAGTCAGTCATCACACAACGTGGCTGTTACTGGATACAATGTTCTCCTGGTTCTGCTCACTTCACTCAGCATTAGTCCATACAACTCTTTCCAGGTTCTTCTGAAGTCTGCCTGCTCATCATTTCTTGTAGCACAATAGTATTCCATTACATTCATATACCATAATTCATTCAGCCATTCCCCATTTGATGGGCATTCTTTCAGTTTCCAATTCTTTGCCACCACAAAAAGAGCTGCTATAAATATTTTTGTATGGGCGGGTCCTTTTCCCATTTTTATGATCTCTTTTGGATACAGACCTAGACGTAGTATTGCTGGATCAAAAGGTATGCACATTTTTGTAGCCCTTTGGGCATAGTTCCAAACTGCTCTCCAGAATGGTTGGATCAGCTCACAACTCTACCAACAATGCATTAGTGTTCCAATTTTCCCACATCTTCTCCAACATTTATTATTTTCCTGTTTTGTCACGGTAGCCAATTAGCCAATCTGATAGGTGAGATGTGGTACCTCAGAGTTGTTTTGATTTGCATTTCTCTAATCAATAGTGTTTTAGAGCATTTTTTCATATGACTATAGATGGCTTTAATTTCTGCATCTGAAAACTGCCTATTCATATCCTTTGACCATTTATCAATTGCGGAATGACTTGTATTCTTATAAATTTGACTTAGTTCTCCATATATTTTAGAAATGAGGCCTTTATCAGAGAAACTAGTTGTAAAAATTCTTTCCCAGTTTTCTGCTTCCCTCCTAATCTTGCTTGCGTTGGCTTTGTTTGTGCAAAACTTACCAATTTAATGTAATCAAAATTATCCATTTTGTATTTCATAATGTTTTCTATCTCTTAGTTGGTCATAAATTCTTCTATTCTCCATAAATCTATCAGGGAAACTATTTCTTGCTGTCCTAGTTTGCTTACAGTATTAGCCTTTATATCTAAATCATGAAACCACTTTGATTTTATTTTGGTATACAGTGTGAGATTTTGGTCTATGTCTAATTTCTGCCATACTCTTTTCCAGTTTTTTCAGCAGTTTTTGTCAAAGAGTGAGTTCTTATCCCAGAAGCTGGGGTCTTTGGGTTTATCAAATAGTAGATTACTATAGTCATTGACTACTGTGTCTTGCATACCTAACCTATCCCACTGATTCACCAGGAGTACACACGTTAGACAACAAGCATTTTACTTGATTTATACTCTGTATCAGTGAAAGGAATACTCATAATAGTGAGATCATGGTTTCATTCAAGTATTTGTTGATAACTATTATTAAGTTTACAATAAAAAGTGACGCTGGGAAAAATAGTAAATATTTCTGATAGTGTTCTGACATCCAAGATATATAGGCAACTAAAAGAAATGTCTAAGACCAAAAGCCATGTTCCAATAGATAAATGGTCATAGGATATGAATGAACAGTTCTCAAAAGAAAAATGGCAATTTATAAGCAATCATGTTAAAGAAAAAATGCTCCAAATCACCAATATGAGATGTATAAATCAAAGCAAAACTTTATAATGAACTGTTCACCTCACACTCAGCAAATTGGTAAAGATGACAAAAGATGGCTCCAGTCAATGTTGGATATATTGTGGGAAAATGAACACACTAAAGCACTGTTGGTGGAGCTTCAAATAGCTCTAACCATGCTGGAAAGCAATTTGGAATTATGGAAATAAAACAACTAAAATGTCCATACATTTGGACCCCAAAATTCCACTGCTAGGCATATATCCCCTCAAGTAAAACAATGGATAACAAAGGTCCCATAGGCACCACATATTTACAGCAGCCTTTTTTGTATTAGCAAAATTACTGTTCAAATGTTTCAGTCATGTCCGACTCTTCATAATCCCATTTGGGGTTCTCTTGCCAAAGATACTGGAATGGTTTGCCATTTCCTTCTCCAGCTCATTGTATAGATGAGAAAACTGAGGCAATTGGGGTTAAGTAGCGTGCCCTGGGTCACATAGCTAGTAAGTGTCTGAGGCTGCATTTGAACTCAGGTCTTCCTGACTTCCTGAATCCAGGCCTTGCATTCTATGTACTATACTACCTTGTTGCCCTGTTGAATACAGGATGGTTAAACAATATTGCTGAGCTGTAAGAAATGACTAATACGATGAATAGAGAGGAACATGGGAGGAATTATATGGAAAATTGCGTTCACTTATTGATTTCACATTTGAAGGATCCTGAGTTGGAGAGTAGAAACATGCCCTGAAGAAGGATATTAGGCGGGGCAGCTAGGTGGCACAGTGGATAGACCACTGGACCTGGAGTCAGGAGGACCTGAGTTCAAATTCAGCCTCCGACACTTGATACTCAATAGCTGTGTGACCCTGAGCAAGTCACTTAACCCCACTGCCTAGCCAAAAAAAAAAAAAAAAGAATATTAGAAGATCACAACAGTTAGAAGTCTGAAAATCCATATCATGAAGGAATCTTGGTTCTTCTAATAGCTCACTATTTAATCTCAAGAACAGGGTATTTAAAGGAGAGAAAAGAAGACTTGGATGGGAGAGCATATCTCAAAACTCTGAAGAGATGTCACTAGAAGAGGAATCAGACAATTCCTGTGCCACTAACTTTATAGTAGGGTAGTCAGGAACATTAATTAGCACACAGCACACAGATTTTGGTTTCATGTAAAAAAAGAAGTTTCTAATCTTTAGTTTACTTGACAGCAAAATAGACTAGCTTGTTGTGAAGTAGTGAGTTACCCATCACAACAAGTATTCAAGGACAGGATGGATAATGACCTGTCTGAGAAGCTTTAGAGAAAATTTCTACATTAGGTTAATGTGTGGACTAAATGACAACTAAGTTCTCTTCAGACTCTACGGATGTCATTTATCTTCACATTGATATTAATGTTTTCCTTGTTGTAGGTACAGCTGTTTTGCATTATTCATTATCTGGAACAATGCAGTTATAAATAAGCATGGTTTTCCTATATGCTTATTCTGATATTCAACAAAGTATTTTTTAAATTTCAAATGACCAAATTCTACCAATGGTGGCTTCAAGACTTTCAATTTCCATTATTGCTATATATTGGATTCAGTATTGTTACATACATTTATCAACTCCATTTGCTTAGAAGAATGACTATAGCTTGGAATTAAATAAGTTACTTGATAGGATATTTTATCAGTACCTTTTGTGACTTATTAGGATTTACATTTTCCCATGGTTCTGGATTTTTTGTCCTGTTAATGCTAAAAAAAATTATGAAATTAATTAGATAACATTTTGACAAGCATTTATTAATTGCCTACTCTGTGCCAGGCACTAACTATGCTGGAAAGCAATTTGGAATTATGGAAATAAAACAACAAAAATGTCTAACCATGCTGGAAAGCAATTTGGAATTATGGAAATAAAACAACTAAAATGTCCATACATTTGGACCCCAAAATTCCACTGTTAGGCATATATCCCCTCAAGTAAAACAATGGATAACAAAGGTCCCATAGGCACCACATATTTACAGCAGCCTTTTTTGTATTAGCAAAATTACTGTTCAAATGTTTCAGTCATGTCCGACTCTTCATAATCCCATTTGGGGTTCTCTTGCCAAAGATACTGGAGTGGTTTGCCGGTGATATAAAAGAAGGCAAAAGACAGTCCTTGCCCATAAGGAATTTACACTGTAATGACATTATAATCTCAAGATTTTAATTGCAAAATTAACACACTGGGTAAAGGCACAGGGAACATCCATCAGACAACTGTCTATGATATACAACTCTAGTTGCACAGATCTGACTTCAGGTCAAGAACTGTCAGTAACCTGAAACAACCACAGGTATCAGGTTTACAAATTTTGATTCAACTAAGCTTTTATTAAATACTTTTTGCGTGCACAGCTACTTAGCTAAGAACCCTAGACGTAACTGCCAGCTATCCCTATTCCATCCAGGAATTATTCTGTTGTACTGCTCAGCTTGGGTTAAAAAATTCAGCTTACACCCGAAGTAAACAATTAGCTGTGTAGCCTGAGCAGACTGTGGTGGTTAAAACCAAGCACTAACTAGCCTGGAGAACATAAGGAAAGAGAAAGGGGAGCTGAGAGAAAGTCCAAGGGTGGGTAAGCTGTGGCCTCAAGGCCACATGTGAACTTCTAGGTCCTAGAGTACAGCCTTTTGACTGAGTCCAAGTTTTACAGAACAAATCCTTTTATTAAGGGGATTTGTTATGTGAAGTTTGGATTCCGTCAAAGGGCCACACTTGAGGACTGAGAGGGCCACGTGTGGCCTCAAGGCCACAGGTTCCCCACTCCTGGTACTATAGCCTCTTTGGTGGCTAGTTAGGTGGCACTGTGGATAGAGCACCGGGCCAAGAATCAGGAAGATCTGAGTTCAAATCTGGCCTTAGACCACTAGCAAGTCACTTCACCCTGTTTGCCTCAGTTTCCTTATCTGAAAAATGAGCTGGAGAAGGAAATGGCAAACCACTCCAGTGTCTTTGCCAAGAAAACCCCAAATAAGGTTGCAAATAGTCTGGACACGACTGAAAAAGGGTGTTTCTTCATAGACTCTGCCTCTCCATGTGCCAAAGGGGGCATATAGCAGCACCAAATCCTGAGCTATGGATAAATTTCCATTAGCAGCTAACTATTTGATATTGTATTGGGAAAAAAGACGTTTGTAACAGCTTAAAAAATAAAATGGGAAAACAATATCTTTCCACTGAAATTATAACTTTATTTGATTATATAATTCTAATAACTGCATTTTAGGAAAATGTTAAGTTTAGAAAATGAAAAGTGAAATCCAAAATTGTACCCCATTTGAGGAGTCATGGAATATACAATATTTATAAAAAGTTAAACTAATGAATTTCTCCATGTCATTTTTTTAATCCTTCTGAATTTAAAGGCTTTTCCCAATTCTGAATCTGTCCAAAAATGGCTATTCTCACACTAGAAGGAATGAATGAAGAAATGAATAAAGCATTTATTAAGTGATTACTATGTGCAAAAAACTGAGGGTAATGTAAGGCAATTCTAACTTTCAGAAATTCACATTCTAATGGGGGAGACAACACATATAAGAAAACTGGGCAACTTTTCACAATCCAGAAGCCAACCCAATGACAATTATAAATATACCAGTTTTACTTACATCACATCACTTTTGGAAAGGGAATATAGCCCCATATAGGTTGCTCCAGCTCCAGCAAAACTCACAAATGTTATCAAAGGAATAAGCTAATGGACAAAAAGTTGAAAGGAAATATCTTCAGATGTTACTTTAAAATATTAAACGATACAGAACAATAAGACGCTCTTACTTTAAATAAGTACTTACTGTATAAATGCAAAAAGATGACAATACTTACTTCTTTCTTTTTCATTATGAGTTTAAAGATGTTCATGACTGCGACTTTTGGGGCAGTAGCCTAGAATAAAAAAGTGTGGTTATTGTTGGTTCCCTCACCCCCCCCCCCCCCCCCCCCGGCCGGCGCGAGGATTAGTGATTGGAAGGCAGAGGGCAGACTTGCATTTTATTCAATTAGGGACCTGCATCCAATTTCACTAAAATGCAAGTCTCCACCCGCCAATTGCCTCTCTCCCCCAACCACCCAGGGGAAAAGCAAACAAACAAACAAAACTCCCAAAACAAACAATATTATTTCCTGGGTAAAGAGATCTAAGAGTTCAAGGAAGAATTTTCCCTCTTAGTGACTACTATGAGACCTGCTAAACTCAGAACTGTATCCTGGATGCTGCCTCTAAACCTTATATACTGAAAATGATTTCAACAATCACTGTGCAAGACTCATGGATATCTGGTCAGCTGATTTCATTTTTAAACAAACTGCACTTCCCCCACCCTACACCCACTTTCTCTAGGTTTGAGCGTGGGGCACTCCAGAAACCACTAAGTTTAATACGAAGTATTGGAAAGGTACAGAGCAAGCTGTCCTGGCGCCACTGATTTATACCAGGTAAACCAGCAGCCAAGGTCCAGGTTAGGTAGGAGGAGAATTGCCTCTCCCCCAAATGCTCTTCCTTCTTTCACTCTCCTGTCATCCTCACCCCCACCCAGTCCAGCTCCCCTGCTTGCAGGCTCCAGGCCAAGGCTTTGGCTTCTGGAATGGGTTTAATGGGCCCAGAAGTGTGGCAGCGGGAACATGAGAATAGTCTTATTTTATTTTGGACAGCAGGAAAGTGGAAAAGTGGATGACTCGATAAGATGGTGCACCCTGTTCTTGGTTTGTGTGTGTAGGTGGCTGAAGAGCTGGCTGACCCTTACAGGACTAGTTGCTAACCTTTAAAGTCCTTTATAAAGAGGTTTTGAAATCTTATCAAGCTGAGTTCCAGCACTATCATTTTACCCACAGGGAAACTGAGGTACAAAAAGATGAAGTGATTTATCTAAAGTTATCTGCAAAAAGATCACAATAGCCAATTATAAATTTAACCAAAAACTTGAATGTTAATAACGTCCCATTAAAAAGAAGAAGAAATAGAAGAGGAAGAGGAAGAAGAAGAAATAGAAGAAGAGAAAGAGGAAGAAGAAATAGAAGAAGA